AGACCAGCTGCGCCGCGCCCGAGACGCCCGCCCCCTCCGCGAGCCCCGGCAGGCGATCGCGAAAAGGGGCGGCCCTGCACTTATCCACGCGGGCACGCGCGCCGAAGGGCAAGAAGCGCAGGCGCGCGGGGCGGTTCTCGGCCTTCGCTCTATCGAATTCGTCTTGGTCGCGAGGGTTGAGCGCCGCGTGCGCGACCTCGCCCTCGGCGCCCTTCGCTTCGCATGCCCAAGTGCAGCGGGGGCGCCCCGCGCGCCCCGCCGGTCGGGCCCGGGCTGACCTGATTCTGCAGCTTCGCGGCCGAATCCCTCGGCCGCCGGGGCGAAGACGCGCTGGCGGCCTGCGCGAGGTAGAGGACTTGCCCGAGAGTCCGGGCGCCCTTCCTTGCGCGCATCATCGTCCAGCGGGCCACTGTGCCCCAGTGCCACGCAAACATGTGCCCCCTCTGGAATCGTTATTCGGCCAACCTCGGGTCGCCCATCCTCAGCTGGATGCGCCCCCGCGTCTCGGCAACGCCGACCCGCGCCTTGCTCTTCCATGGCTTCCTCGCGAAGTTCATGGGATCCGCGAGGCGCGGGTCCATGAAGCGGCCAGTGACCTGGAGCTCGGAGCGCAGTTTCGTGTCGCAGAAGAACTTCATGACCTCGTGGCGCTCGATCGGCAGCCCTTCCTTTCGGCTATCGGCGGCGGCCATCTGCTGCAGGTCCGACAGCAAGGGCCCCCCAGAGTCCGTGGGTTTCAGCTGCAGGGAACCCCCGGGTAGATCACGATGGGCACGCGGCCACAAGCGCAGCAGGGTTTCTGGTAATTCGCCTCCTGCAGATGGCACTGGGCGCGGCTTGCCTGGAAGGCGCGGCACAAGAGCACGTTGTAGAGATTCGGCGGCGCCATGCTCACCTCCTCGATCGCGCAGAGTCCCAGGTTACACCAGATGTTCTCGAGGCGCGCGCGCGCATGCCGGCGTCGGGTATCACGTCTCTGTTCGGGTGCTCCCCGATGCCCATCGGCGCGGCCCTGTGGCACGTGGTCGCCGCGTGGGTTTCCATGGGGATGTTCTCCGACTGGGACCACTTGGCGCAAGCGATCAGCGCTGCGGAAACCACGAACAGGAACTCCACGGCAGGCAGCGCGATCTCCAGGACGATCGCCGTCTTGCCGGACCCCCCCTGGTCCATGAGCAAGAAAGCAAGAAAGGTCCAGCGGCGGGCCCAGGGGACCTCCTCCTGCTCGTCGTCCCACGCGGCATTGCAGGCGTTCGCGACCGTTGCCACGACCAGGGTCTGGTCTCGCTTCGGAGTACGGGGCGCTCTTCCCCCTGCGGCCGGCCCCACGGGCCCCTCCTCGAACTTTTTCGCGAAGTGGGCCACGTGGTCGCTCGGGCGGCGCCAGGCGTCGACGGGCGCGAAAAAGGCTTTCGGCTCGGGGCGACGCCGCGGGGCGGACTCGTCTGATTGATCCTGCGGGTCCGGATTCGAAGGGCCGCCGCTTTCTCCGGCGACGGGCGCAGCGGGGCAGTCTGCGTCTGTCTGCGCCTCAGAGCTCGGACATCCAAAGTTTCCGTTGCGCCTGTACCAGCTCAATCAGCGTCTCGACGCTCAGGTCGGGCAGGCTTTCGCACCACCTTTGCACGTCCTCCCGGACATGCGCGGCACTCCGGCCCGCGCCGCCCTGGCGGCTCGGAGGCGGTGGCAGGACTCCGCTCTCCATGACGGACGTCTCCATGAGATCTTCAACAAAACTCTGGACCCGCTCGGACGTGGCGAAGACCAACGCCTTCCACAACAGACCGGAATCGAAAAAATGGACGGTGCACGTGCCCGCGCCCAGCGATGCCAAGCCGGCCTGCGCGCACAGGGCAGCGGCCCCGACGTGGCCAGTGGCCTCGCCGTGGTCCTTGCCTCCGTGGCTCACGCGCGCCTCGGGGGCGGCGGCGGCGCCGTCTGCCTCCCTCTCCTGCCTGGGCTCCGAGCGCGCCTGAGCAATGCGCGCGGAGTTGGCAGAAGCTTGCAGCGGCACGAGCGCGGCGTATTCCAGCACAGAGGGCGCGAGCACACAGGACTCCTCGGAGGGCGGCTCGTCGGCGCCGCCCCCCCGGGCCGCAGCGATCCCCGCCAGTGCCTGCCGCGCCTCGGCGGTGCGCCACAGGCAACCGGCGGACGCAGGCCCGCGTTCCTTGCGCTGCGCCTCGCCAGCCGCCGCCTTCTTCTCGGCGAAGAGCAGCTCCCAGCCGCGCTGCCGCCCGCGTGCGCGTCCTCGTCCACGCCCCTGTCCTCGTTCAAGACATCGTCTTCGTCGCCGTCCTACTCCTCCTCCTCGTCCTCCTCGTTCGGGGAATCGGCCCCAGGTCCGTTGGACGGCTTGCATACACGGGACGGCGACTGCCAATGACCATGTTTCTACGGGTCCGATGGACCACCGGCTTGATCACCCTAGCCCGCACTCGCCGACCTACGCGTGCGTGGTTTTGACACACTCCTGGTTGGACGGACCCCTCGATTCGAAAATTCACGAGAATGACGTCGTTTAAACTGCAAACACAAAAACGAACTCCCAGCGGCATACGCAGCTCGTAACCCACGGAAGCGCGTTCCGGTCAGAGACGCAACTGCAACAAATATTGTGTTCTCTGGGTACGATGGACCTCCGCTGTGAGCCTTCCACCGCCATCATTTACATCTGTTTCTCCTCCTCCCTTCTGATCCGTCTTCCTCCGTCTTCCGCCTACTCAAGATCATATTCCTCCTCGTCGCACTCCTCCTCCTCCTCCTCTTCCTGCTCCTCCTCGAACACGGAAGCGGTCTCCAGCAAGCTGGAAGGCGTGCACAACGCAAGGAAAGGATTGGGAAAAACGGGTCCGATGGACCACCACTGTGAACCGACCAGCCCAAATGCGTTGACGAAATCGGTGATTGAGTTTGGTCTGCTGCGTGTTACGCCTTGTGTTGCGCCTGGAATGGGGGAAGTCCGCACCCCTCCTCACCCACCGGCGATCCTATTTGATGCCCGATGTCTGTGGATGTCTGGCACAAAGAAAAAGCCATCTTGATATTTTGCGGTATTGACGCCTGGAGAGGCGCCTCCGCTGGGCTTCCCGGGAGCCCACGGGTGACGACAGTTTTGCTAATCGCAGCCCTCAAGCGACGGCGCCCTAGGGATTGCGAAGCGAAGTCTGATGGCGGCCCCCGTCAGACACCCCTCCGCTGGGCCTCCCAGAAGCCCACGAGAGTGACGACCGTTTCGCAGATCGCACCCCCGCAGGGACGGCGAGGTTTCATGGTGGTCCCCGTAAGACACCTCTTCGCTGGACCCCCCAGAAGCGCACGAAAGTAGAGGCATACTCGCAGGTCGCAGCCCCCCAGGGACGGCAAGGTATCATGGTGGTCCTCGTAAGACACCCACCCGCTGGACCTCCCAAGAGCCCACGAGAGTGGCGACAGTTTCGCAAATTGTAGCCCCCCGTGGACGGCGAAGTCACATGGTGGCCCCCGTAAGACATTATCCGCTGGACCTCCCAGGAGCCAACGAGAATGGCGACGGTTTCGCGAATTGCAGCCCCCATGGACGGCGAGGTCTCATGGTGGTCACCGTAAGACGCCCCTCCGCTGGGCCTCCCAGGAGCCCACGAAAGTGACGACAGTTTCGCTGATCGCAACCCCCAAGGGACGGTGAGATCTCATGGTGGTTCGCGTAAGACTCCCCTTCGCTGGACCTCCCAAAAGCTCACAAGAGTGACGACAGGTTCGCAGATCGCAGCCCCCAGGAACGGCGAGGTTTCATGGTGGTCCCCGTAAGACCACGCTCCGCTGGGCCTCGCAGGAGCCCGCGAGAGTGGCCGCAGATTCGCAGATCGCCCCCCCCCCCCCCCCCCTCAGGGACGGCGAGGTCTCATGGTGGTCCCCGTAAGACACCCCTCCGCTGGACCTCCCAGGAGCCCACGGACGTGGCGACAGGTTCGCAGATCGCAGCCCCCCAGGAACGGCGATGTCTCATGGTTGTCCCCGGAAGACACCCCAGGGACGGAGGTCTCATGGTGGTCCCCGTAAGACACCCCTCCGCTGGGCCTCCCACGAGCCCACAAAAGTAGCGACAATTTAACTGATCGCACCCCCCCCGGGGGACGGCGATCTAGAGTTGTGATTTGCGTAAGACGTACCTCCGCTGGACCTCCCAGGAGCCAGCTAAGTGGCGACAGCTTTGCAGATCGTAGACCCCCAGGGTGCCGCGAGAGGGAGGTATGATGGGGGAGGGAGGAGAGAGGCAGGAGAAGGCGAAGGAGGAGGACGCGACCAGAGCGCTCTATTCAAAACGAGTACCCAACCAAGGAAGGGTTGGGAAAAAAGAGACAAGCAATGCCATGCCATTTCCTCCCACGGCGAGAACGGTGATCGTACAAACTCTGGCCGTCTCCTTGCAGGTTGCGCGATTCCTAATACAGCCCAAGACAACACACAACAGTCTGTGCACTGCAGACAGAATGCCATATATCGTTGCACCTTCGACTGGTATCTGCCGCAATTGGCACGACCACGATTTCTAAAATTCCATTCTGGCATTACCGAGGTGGTCAATGGTCAGTTCAACTACATGGCCAAGATCTGTAATTGCTCTGCTCTCCGCCTCTTCTGGCCCATCCCTCTGCTCGCCTGGGACCCCTGCTCCTATGCTAGTTCCATTGGCAGGAGCCAAGATGGCTGCGCACACGAGATTTCTTCTTGTATGCTCAATGTGTCTTGTTTTCCTCCTCCTTCTCCTCCTCAGCCTCTGTCTCCTCCCATGCAATGCGTATGGCAAGTCACCAGTCCAACGATCCTATCGCAACTTCCCGTCTGCGATGTATCTGGCCACGCTCCCTTCGATGGCGCTAGTGCTTGATCGTGCTGCTTGGATTTCTCCTCCCCCGTCTCCACCTCGTCGCCCACCCCCTCCCCGACCCCCTTCTCGCGGAGGGGCGGGAAGGCCTCACTGGCATCGCCCCAGACCGCAACCGCTGGCAGCATCCCCCTCACCACATGCGGTCACAGTCCGCGCGGCGCTGCTGGCCAGGCGCGCGGCCCTGCAGCCTCCTCCTGGCCGGCGGAGGCATCAGCACGAGGCCGACAAGGGTGGGAAAGAGCAAGATGGGGAGAGGCGGTGGGGACACACCAGGGGGCGGGCGCGCATAAGAATTGCACTATCGACTCGGAACTAACTTAACACGCGCACGCACTCACACACACACACTCACACTCACACACACTCAGAATTCTCCACACGTGCGATACGTGCTCTGGTATCAATCCGACTAGGGGCGCCAGCTATTTCGGAGCGCGCGCAGCAGAAAAAAGAATACTCCAGATGTCGTAATAAAAGGGAGGGGGTCTGGACCCTCCAAGACAAGCCATTTCAGACCCCCCCCCCCGTGGGAGAACCCTCCAAAACATCGTCCCCAGACCCCCCCAGGCCCTCCAAGATAGCCTGGAAGAGACCCCCCCCGAAATGAGACCCCCCTCCCTATATTACGAAATCTGGAGTAGCGAGAGTGCATGGCCCGCGCTCCCAACGAGACCGGCTGGACCCCTTCACCACGGGGCAGGTGGCAGCAGCTGCGGCGAGGTGAGGCCAACGGCGGCTCCCGGCGGGAAAAAAGGCCCTCCTCCTCCTCCTCCTCCTCCTCCTCCTCCAGCAAGACCCATGCCCCCCCCGCCCACCCGTGGCAGGTTCGCGTCGTGAAGAGCTGGTCTCTGCCAGGCTCGGCAGGTTCGGCGTCGCTTCGGGGCTCGGGGTTCTGGGTTCGGGGTCTTTGTTTTGGACGTTCTGTGAGCCGAGGCGTCTCGTGGCCACGGCTGGATCCGCCCCCAAATCTGGGCCAGAGCGTGACAGGTCCAAGGGCCGATCTGTGGCACCCACGGGCTTTCGGATACGGCGGGTGCACGTCGCGATGACGTCGACGTTGGCTCCTGACCCGGACACCCGACGTCATGAATTTTTCATGACGTCGACCCTGCAGCGGTCTGGACCCATTCCCCGGGACCGGTTTTTCGTCCTGAGTCGTTTTTTGACGGTCCCGAGGGCCGGTAAGGGCCCCCGGAGGCCAAAAATAATGAAAAACCTGTCGTCGTGATTTTTTCATGACTCGAGGGGGCCTGGGGAGAGAGTGGGCCTTCGGGAGAGCCCCGGGGGTCCAGAGCCCATGCCCCTCGAGGAGGCCTCCCAGGCGGCCCCAGCGCGGGCCGTCAGGGCTGAGCGGCGACGCCGCCCGTGGCCCGGAGCCGGCGGATGTCGACCGGCGGGCGCTGTCGGCAAGCCGCCGTCGCTCAGTGTTGAACGGTCCGGGCGGGACCCTCCTGCCGAGGGCCGCTCCCTGAATCTCGGGCCCCCCTTTTACCCCTCGGGGCCCTGAGATTTCAGGGCCCGTTCCAGCGGGGCCCTCCTGCCGGGGGAAAGAGTCGCTCGCCGGGGAAGTTGCTCGCTCTCCGGGCAAAAGGGCCACTTCCCCGGGCGAAGCATGGCAAAATGCCGGGTCGGTTACGTCTCCGGGTGAGACCCTCGCAGGTTCTCCACCTCCCCAGAGAACACCCCAAACACCAAACACCAAACACCAACCACCAAAAGCCAAACACCAAACACCAAACATCAAACACGAAACCCAAAACACCAAACACCAAACCGCAAACCACAAACACCAAACACCAAACACCAAACCCCAAACACCAAACTCCAAACTCCAAACAACAAACACCAAAACAACAAACACCGAACACCACATACCACACACAAAACACCAAACACCAAACCCCAAACCCAAAACACCAAACACCAAACATTCAACCCCGAATCTCAAACACCATCCTTGGCGACATTCGCTGCCAAACCTCGTCCGCGAAATCGTTACCATGGACCTCCAAGACTCTTGCACCCTTACCGCGTATCCTTATGGTACGGATTGGCTGTGGGTAGGAAGAAAAGGAGGAGGAGGAGGAGGAGGAGGAGGAGGAGGAGGAGGAAGAGGAAAAGGGGGAGCGAGAGGATATGGAGGACGAGGGTTAGGAGGATGTGTTGGACGAGGATGATCATGATGCTGATGGCGATGGTGATATTGATGCTGCCGCGAATTTTGATTATGATGACGATGCTGATTATGATGATGATGCTAGTGAAGACGATGCTGCTGATGTTTTTCTTTTTTTCATCGCGCGGCACGCACACTCCATGCGCGCGATACCTTGAGCCAAAACAGCTGTAACAATTTTAACGCCGGACTGGGCGCAAAACTGCTTTAACAATTTTAACGCTGGCTGCGCCGCACCGGCCCCGTGACATTTGCAACACCCTGCGCGGCGTGGGGGGAGGGGGAGCAAGCGGGGGGGGAGGACGGGGCGAAGGGGCAAGGACGCTGTGCGGGCAACCCCTGAGGCCCGAGCTGCCACTTATATAACCAAAAAACAGCGCAATCCACAAGGGAAGAGCGAGAGGAGGGGGAGGAGAAAAGAGAAACAAAAAAAGACGAAGGATACGAATTAGCCCAAATCATCCCCTGGCATGCCAAACTGCTGTTGGTCAAACACGTATTGAACGGCCTCGACGGCCAGGCAATACATTCATCACCCTTGGTACCATGGCAGGAGAAAGGAGGGAGGGGGAGCAAGAGAAGAAGCGGGAAAGCGGGCGGACCAACGCAAGCGGTCATGCCAACGTGGTCGACATCCCCCTGACCAGCGTCCAGACGCCCCGGGTATTCAGGCGGATGCCGCAAAGCAGCACCAGGAAGAAGAACGGGAGGGGGAAACGGGGAAGACGCAGACGGGAGGGGGCAAGACAGAGAACAACACAATGTCTAATGTGAACAACGTTTCAAGGCGGCTCCAACCGGCGGGCGCTGGAGGCTCGCTGAGTAACAGCGGCCCGCCCGGCGGGGGTGCCCGGCACATGCACGCGTACCTAAAACAACTGTGCCGAACATAGGCTCTGGGGGGGCAGGAGGAGGAGGGAGGGAGGTAAGCACATGCAATCGCCCTCAGACCTTGCCGTTGCCAAGCGCGGAACTGCCGCCGGAGCCCGCGTGCCAGGCGGCGCTGACAGGATGGGACTGGCCGTGCCAATGAAGGTTCTGCTGGAACCCGTCGTTCTGCCCCTGGTGGTGCTGCTAGAGTCCGCCCTTCTGCTCCTGGAGGGCTGCTGGAGTCCGTGCTGCTCACGATGGTGCTGCTGGGGTCCATGGTGCTGCTCACGGAGGTACTGCTGGACTCCGTCGAGCTGCTCACAGAGGTGATGCCGAGACCCGTCGTTGGTGCTGCTGGTTGCCCTCGTGCGGTGCCCCTGGTGGTGCTGCCAGTGTCCGTCGTGATGCTCGCTGCGGTGCAGCCGGAGTCCGAGGCCCGCGCGCTGCCCCGCTGGTGCTGCCCGAGCCTGTCCTGCTGCCCACGGCGGTGCTGCGGGGGCCCGTGCCGCTCACGGTGGATCTGCGGGAGGCCGCACGGCTCACAGAGGTGCTGGTGGGGTCCGTCGTACTGCTCACGGCGGTGCGGCTCGCCTCCGTCGTGCTCGTCACGATGCTGCCGCAAGACTCCGTGTCGCGGGAGTGCGTCCTGGAATTCGTCCTGCTTCCCGCGGTGGTATTGCCGGGGGGACGTGCCACTCACTGCAGTGCGGCCGGGGTCCGCATTGTTCACGGCGGTGCTGCTAAGGTCCGCCGCCCTGCTCACGATGGAGCAGAAGTCCGTCGCGTGGCTCGCGATGGCGCTGCTGGAGGAGATGCCGAGGTCCGAGGCCGTGGTAGCTGTTCCTCGTCGTGGTCGTGGTGACTGTTCTTGGTCGTGGTGGCTGTTTCTGGTCGTGGTCGTGGTGGCTGTTCGTGGTCGTGGTGAATGCAACACCGCATCATGGACACCCCAATGTGTCACTAATACCCCCTTCCTGGGTGGATGTCGGCGTGCTGCCGTGATGGTCGTGGACATGGTCGTG